AAAAAAAAAAAAAAAAACAGGAAGCTATAGCCCAGCAGTGAAAATGACTTATTCCCTTTCTTTATACTCAGGTTTAAGTCTCATTGTGCACATCTATCATTCCCGCGGTACCTTACATGCTTTAAAAGTTTACAGGATATTTAATGAGCCCAAAGATTAGTTATAATACACATAAACTGACTCGAACACCCCAAGTTATATATAAAAAAAAAAAAAAAAAAAAAAAACCCAAGTAATAACCTTTTTTTCGTATTTAGCTTTTCATAGTTATAATTAGTGGAAATGTCCCCCGCAACAAAGGACATCAATTCTCTAGACGACACATTATACCTAGAATTAGCCCATATGGGCGAGTCTCACGATATTCAATAAATAAAATAACACCAAAAAGAAAAAAGAAGCATCTGATATTGAAGAACAAACATAATCAATAGTAATAAACTCAACCCAAACCCTATCATTTAGGGAAACATCCAGTCAAAAGAACTGGTGTGCAAGATCACGCATCATACAATACATCGGATCCACATGGTATAGGAAAGAACATTTGCAGAAATTTTAGCAATTCAAGCACATCATTTTCATTCACGGCTCCACAATGATCTTCCCAGTAGCATGACCATCGATACTCTTTGCCCAAGCATCTTCAGCCCTGCTTAATGGATGCTTTGAGTCGATGACTGTTTTAAGCTTCCCTTCCTTTACCAGATTAAGAAGATAATTCAGGTTCTCACCATTGGGAATCAAAAGCAGCGGCACCAGCTGCTTCTTGGAGAAGGTAAGTTTCTTAAAAGCAAAAGTCATGAAGGCACTGGGGCCAGGAGTGATATCTATAACCTTCCCATTTGCACTCAGATTTGGCTCAAAAGTGCTCCAAGGAAAACCAGCAGCGCAGTGGATCACAGCATCATATTTCTTACCAGATGGGCTCTTCAGAGCTGCTCCTTCTGGGGTTTTGTAATCCAGAACCTCATCAGCACCTAAGCTCTTCACAAATTCGATGTTTCGAGCCCCACAAGTGGCAGTCACATGAGCGTTTCCCAGCTTTGCAAGCTGAACTGCATAGTGACCTACACCACCTGAGGCAGCAGTGATCAGAATATTTTTCCGGTTACCACTTCCATCAAGCTTGACCCCAGCAGATTGAGTGAGAGCCTGGTGAGCTGTGAGCCCAGCAACAGGCAAGCCTGCACCTTCAGCTGCTGAAACTTCAGGTGGCCTTGCAACTGGCAAGCTCTTCTTAGCCACTACAAATTCAGCTAGTCCACCTCCACTCTGTTGTTTGTAGAACACACAACAATTAATCAAAGAAACAGAACGAAACAAAATTCAGAGACCAATGGTAAAATTCCTCCATACACATAAGATTGTCAAATGCTAAAATGCAGTTTTCATATGCGTACAACCAAGAAGATAGAATGTGCCAAGTCCCAGGTCCAAACTCCTATGTGACACTTAATGGTATACAAGATCCATGAGCAAGGCATCTAAGCAAACTAACCTCTATAATGCGCCTCAAGTTGGCAATACTACAAACTAGTAAAAAAAATTCATAAGCATCAAGGGCTTTGACCTGTTTTCTTTCCAAAAAAGGTGGCTACAATGACGACATTAAGGTATAGCTTTTGTGTTTCAATGAAGCTGAGCAAATGTCCAAAACAGAGTTATCTGATTTTACTTTTTAGGGGAGGAAACTAAGTTGCCTATGGAGACGAGAAACAACAAGTACTCCTTGATGAAAGTTGTATTTCACCGTTCACTTTCATGAAAGATATTGAGGGCATGGAGGTTGGCTGTTCACACAATAGACAGATTTAGCTATAAATTATTCACTTGTTATTGACTCATACCTCTGTCAATACCTGGAAACAATTTTCTACTTGTGCTTTATCTAATATGATGAATACAATAATTTTATTATCTCTCTCTTCAAATCACCCCCAACCCCTTTTCATGCTGATTTTTTTCGTTTATAACCAGTCATCCATGTTGTGTAACCTTCAGTCCGTGTTGATGCAAGCTGGCTAATTTGAGATGACATTATTTAAGGCGCAAGTGAGGGTAAGGTTGACCCCAATTGTTTACTTAGCCATTAAACCCAAAAAAGATAATCTAGAGGTCGCCTCACCAATGTAAATCATTTGAAAAATTACAAAGATAAGGAAATGAAAAACACCAAAATATTGAATGAGCACTTACAAGGTGGCTTAGAATAGCTACAACTTTGTCACCAGTTTTGAAATTTGTTACTCCTGGTCCAACCTCTACAACCTCTCCTGCCACGTCAGTGCCTGTTGCGACAAAGGTTTCTTCAGCAAAAAAGTGAACGCTGTGTGTGTGTGAATGCGTGCTTGGCAAACACACAATATTGCTAAAACTATGAAATTAATATATCAGCATGAGATTGAACGAATGTTAACCACATGGATTACAAGCTATGTTTCAGACGGGTGCTGGAAATAAAGTTTAGATCAGTTGTTTCTCCATTTGTAACTCGTTTTAAAAATTGTAGATCTTTGTTGAGATATGAGGCAATTCACTGAACAGAGAGAATGATGCAAGTCCTCGAGCAGTGACTACAACAACCATCTAATCTTAACGAGGAACCACTCGTTTTAAGCTTTTTCATTGCTTAAACAGACCAAGTAAAGAACCCACAAGCCATTGGAAATGACAGAGTAACCATGGAAAGGAAACCTTCTGCCAAACAGCACCCAAACACAAATTCCCAAAACTTTGACATCACTGAACTGAAGTCAAGCGTTTGAAATGGTAAGTAAAGATTATTGCTTTTGCATTGTCATATACCATAAAAAAATGACAAACGTATGCCAGTTTCCAAGTTCCGCATTCTGAAAGCTAAACAAAGGAACATAAAAGTATCAAATTGGCAACTAATATTTAATATTAAATATTGGCAACTAATATTTAATATTTATAAGGAAACGATTCTATTGAGATGGTCCACAGTAACACCAAGCCCGTTTCCAAAGTTTCTTAGATGCAAAACCACAACCTTACAAACTTAAATCCAAATCAAAATAATGATTAGGCACCTAAAAGAAGAAAACCAAGCAATCAACTAACATTACAAAGAACAATTTCCTTGTGGATACATGGCGGAATTTATGTGCAATCAAAAGCCTTAACAAGCAGTAAGATAGTGTCTGAGTCAGATTACATATAAAAACCAAAGTCCAAATAAAGAAAGAAGTGAATCACCGGGTATGTAAGGGAATCTCCGAGGGAGTAGGGGGCGCAGCATCCCTTTCTGCATCTTCCAATCGACTGGGTTTAGACTAGTTGCTTCTAACTTGAGCAAAACCTCGTCTCTCTTAGCACTAGGGACTGGAACCTCAACATGCTGCAACAAGCAAAACTTATATAATAGCAGTAACTCACAGTAGGTGCATCAATGCCTCTTTTTCGTACGTGTTTCGGATTGCAGTTCAAATTGATAAAAAAAAATTATATTTCAAATTATTGTTTTATATTTATAGATTATTTTAATAAATTGATATTAAAAATAATTTTTTTAAAAATCAAAAAAAATTATATTAACATATTTTTAAAAGAAATATTTAAAAATAACCATTTCACACTTTCAAACACCTTTATTATTTAACAATTTTATCAAGAATTAAAGCAAAACTCACATCACATCCAATCCTTCTCCTCCTCCGTCACCACCACCACCATTATTATTATTATTATTATTATTATTATTATTATTTAATTTAGAAACAAAACGAAATGGGGACAGCAATCTATAATTCATCTCCATGTTTCACCAATTACCAACTAACTAAATGGTCATCAAAGAAAAGAAAAGGGACATATAATTACGCTAACAAAACTTGGTTAAAAAAACAATTAACCTTTAAACCAGCGGCGCCTCCTCCATAGGTGCTATACTGAACGGCATGCATCAGCTTCCCCGCCATATCCAATAGCAGCGACGCCGTTGTAATCAAAGAAACAGAAGGAAAAAAATCCGGGCACGGAGTACGGACAGAACAGAAGAAAAAAGGAGTGCAGCGTGATAGGAACTGGCAGGAGAGAAGGTGGTGGCTTTACGGTTAAACTTCAAAGAGAGAAACGAGAGGCCTACGGTCCCACACATGTCTACCAAACAGGAAATGGCAATCTTTTGGTATCTCTTTTTTGTATTAATGGAAGGGACTAGATACAGGTCGGTTATAAGAAACTGTGCCCCCTAGGAATTTATGCCTGTTTTGTTTGCAGCGAACAAGATTTATATCATTTTTTTTTAAGGGAATAAAAATAATAATAATTTAACCTTACATGCCTCGAATCTATCTAATTATATAATATTATTTGTTCTTATTTTTATATATTTTACTATCAATTTTGTAATTTAATAAAATTAGGATGATGCTATTATATGTTAATATTCTCGCGCATTGTATGGATTGAATTAAGTTATCTATTAGATTGTTTTGATCAATTATTTATTTTCAAAAATATTTTTTTGTATATTTTGTAACATAATTATTTTTTAGTTGCATTAATGATAAATTATTTTTTAAAATATTAATCATTTAAAATATTTAAAATTTACATATATAGTTGTTTTTTTGGTGTTTTAAGTCAATTGTATAAGTTATGGTATATTTTCTAATTTTAGTTTTCTTTTTTTCTACTTAAACTTCTTTAGTAATATTTCTTGCAGTTTCTATTTTTAATTTTATATCTGCAAATTATTATTGACTAAAATTTTACACATTATTAGTAAGATATTTTATTACTTAGTGTCCGTTAGTTTTTGTGTATAAAAACAAACCATCCTTCATATTTAATTAGATTTTAGAACAAAGAATGAATTAATTAAAAGATTAGAAAGCTCCATAATTAGAAAAAAAAAATTATTGATAAAATCATATGCTAAGATTTTTATAAGAAATAATTAAAGAAAAACACTTGATCATGGCTACTAGAATCCAATACTAATAAGAAGGTTCAAAGAAAGCTATATAATTTGAAATTCGTTATTGATAAAAATATATACTAAGATTTATCTGAAAAAATAATTTTAAAGAAAACTCTCAATAATAGCTATTTAGAGCTTACCACTTCCGAGGACGCCCAGGGAATCCCTAACCATAACCATAAGATAGAGATTTTTTTTTTGTTTTATATTTCTTTTATTCTAGATTTATCTTTTCTATTCTGCATTTTTTTTATTTATATTAGGATTAGTTCATGCATATACTTACACATATACTCGTAATGTATTAGAAATACATTGAATCTAATACTAAAAATCATGGCAATGGGTAAAATATTTATGTTGAATTCTTTTCCTCTTTTTCTTTTTATTTCTTTAATTTTATATGATATTAGAACATTTGTTTTATAATGTAAAGACTTCCTTAAATAATATCTCTTGCATTTTTAGCATCTAAAAATAATAGATAACTTTTTCCCGGTCATTAAAGTTTCATTCTAATCAACAAACAAACTACAATAATATCTTTATTATCATCACTTGATAATGTCTATTAATTAATACTTAAAAATATATTTTTATCAGGATTTTTTATTATTATTTTACATTTAAAATATTAATAACTCCTTAACTAGAACATGTTTTATAATAGTATATCTAATAAAATAAAATACATTTAATTTATGGTAAATATTTATCTTATATGTAGGCCTATCATATAAATCAATGTATTAATTGATGAGTTTAATTACTGGAATTAAAAAGACAAAGAAAGAACTAAGATTAGAAAAAAGATATTGGTTTAATCCAAATTAAAACAATATTCGGTTATTGTAGTACAAGATTCAACAAGGTTGTTTTCAATTTGATTTGTTGAGAGGAACTTGATTTGTTGTTAATATAAGTTATAATCATAAATATCTGGCAACATATATAAATATTAGCATTATTCGAATAAGATAACTAATGTAATCATGTTAATAATTTATAATCCGATTAGAAACTCCTTTGTGTGTTGTCTCTAATTGAGTAATAAAAAGAATTTTATACTTTATTTGTTTAAAATACCATTAGTGGATACTTTAATCTTGATATTTGTTTTTATCATTACTCAATTTTTACATTATCTTACATTTCAAAGTCATCTTTAACTCATCATCACCATCACCATTATTATTGTTGTTGTAATTATTATTATTATATAGTTAGCCTCCCTATAATTCAACCACAATCTTGTTGGGTTATTTATTACTTGAATACTCTTACACTTGGGATAAAACATCAATATTTTGGTTATGTCACCTATCGTCATTATCTTTTTTAAACTAACAAATAAAAACTATTTGTTCTAGAAGGCTGAAATCAAGCTTCTTTTTTTTTATTATTAGACAAGGCTCGTATGTTTAATTGATGGGTCAAAATCATGTTCATCCACCCTTTTTATCATAAAGAATGCATCTACTATCATACCCAAACCTAGATCAAATGGATTAGACTAAACAAGATCAATTGATAATGAGTACTTTAATTACATTTTTGTTTACTAATGTATTATCTCATGTGAATCATTGTTAGATTTCTCACTATATTTGTACAACTTTATAATCAACTTTGACTTTGCCATCAATAATTAGAATTACATTTCTTCACTTAGGCCTTTTTAAACTATAATAACTAACTATCTAGAGAACTAATTTATACTTGTGTGCATCATGGGAAATCATACAACATACAACATACAACATACAACAATGAGATGGTAGCAATTAATAAACCACTTACTCTCATAATTTTTAACTTATATTTGTTTAAAATTCGATTATTAGAGTTTAAGGGCTTGATGACCACTTTAATATCTTGATTCAAGCTTGTTACTTTCTTGAAATTACATAGTTTTACTCTTAAGCCATAAATTCTTATACAATCATAACTTTTGCATGCTCTTCATTAGACCCATGTCTACCAATTATGAGACAATCCTTTTGACTAATATTGATAGATAGTCCATTTTTGCTAACAATGGTAACAACTTTAAATCTTATTTCTTTTCTAGTCAAAACAGTCTTCTCAATATAAAGTATGATAAAAAAACAACGAGGTCAACCCTTTTCAAAAGGGCAATAAAGTAAGTAAGAAAATAAAAGAGATTTTTATCGAGAAAATAAATCAAGTTCAAATCAACTATGATAAGATACCTAAACTTAGTGTTAAGTCTATAATAACAATATTCATACTACTTTATCATGTTTCCTTTTCTTTTTAAGTGTTTGTTCTCTTCCTATAGGAAACTCTTCAATTTTAGATCTTTCATGTTTTATCAACAATATTTTGAAGAATCACTCTTTTATAATCATAGTAAATCATGACATTTTGTTATTAGAGCACCATAACATGTGGAGCCATACAATATTGGACCCACTTAAATAAAACCTTACATTAACTTTGATAAAATAAGAGATGATAAAGAAACTAATATCTCACACCTTAACCATACTTCAATTCATATACCTTAAAATTTCTAAAGTTTTATTTTATGTTTTTATAATATGATTAAATCTTTTTATTCTATAAGATAATTTGCTTTAGATAGTAATATTTTCTTTAAATTTCATGATCACTTTCATCTTATCAATGATCGAGTTTTCAAAGTCATCTTTATACCCAGCACAATTAAAGATAATTTATACCAGCTTCAATACTAACCCTTTAAATATAATCCATAAGTGTTATCTATCATAAACATTACCCTAGAGTTTGTCATCAACAGCTTCGTCATCCACGTTCTCATATCTTGCATTGTGTTCTCTCCAATAAAGTTCATCTAATTTTTCCTTGACTAATTATCATTTTAATTATACATTTTTTTCTTTAAACGAGTCAAGTCGATTTCATTTAGGTTTATTGAAGCATGTTGATTTAGTTGTAATAGACTTAGTTTTTATTGATTTTAGGGGTTCCTCACCAACTTGTTCCATGAATAGATGTAAGTACTTTGTTATTTTTATTGATAGTTTTTTCAAATATATATGGTTTTTTTTCCTTTGAGTAATAAATTCAAGACTTTTGACATTTTTATCTAGTTTTAAAAGTAGGTTTAAAATTAGTTTGGAACTTGTATAAAATAATTTTAGACTCATTAAGGAGATGAGTTTTAAAAACTAATTTTATGTTTCAACATTATAGTCATTGCACATTATTATTTATCCTTATACATATGAGCATAATAAAGTCGTGAAATATTGTCATTGGTATATTATTGAAATTGACCTCACTTTACTTAAACATACTTCTCTTTTATAAAAATTGTATTCTTATATCTTTGAAACTTTTATTTTTCTTATCAACTGAATGCATACACCAATTGTTCAATATTAATCTTTTTTTTCCAAAACTTTTCCAATGATAACCTGATTATTCATTTTTAAATGTTTTTGGTTTCTTTCTACCTTTTTATTCTACATTGATAGAATAAATATAAACTTGATTTTCAATCTACCCTGTTTGTCTTCCTTGATTATAATTTAAATAATCTAGAATACTATTACATGGATATCTCTATTTATAGTGTTGACATCATCCATCATGATACATTCCACGAGTTTCCATTTTCTTATGTCGAGTCCACTTCATTAGTTTTCTCTCCATTATTATAGTCTTTTTCTTTTTATCCTTCTAATATCAATTCTTTATGAATGAATATTATTTTGTCTACTTTATTACCTACTCTGCATCTTTTATTAACCATGATTGCTTCATATTTTTTATCCAAACCTAAGTGTTATACTAAGGTGAAATAACATGCTAAATGGAATTCAATTATGGCTATGAAATTTAATATGTTGTCCTATAATTGCACTTAGTCTTTAGTTCTTTTTTACCTTTCTATAGATGTTGTAAGTTCAAAATAGATATACATGATTAAATGAAAAATCAATGGGTATATTGAATGTTACAAGGTTCATTTGATAGCTAAGGGTATAATTAAAATAAAGGTATTTACTTTCATGAGATCTTCAATCCAGTTATTAAAGCAGCTATAATTCAGATAGTTTTAGTCATTGCTACTTTCTAATGCTAGTCTATTTTTTAATTGGATATTCATAGTGTATTTCTTAATGGTTTTCTTGATATTGATATTTAAATACAACATCCAAGTTTGTTTTATCCTTATCTCTTTTTTTCCCTTTAAATATGCAAATTTTATAGGTCTTTTATAATAGACTTAAACTAACACCATATGCATCGTTCAATCAGCATAACCAATTTTTTTTGTGTCTCGACTTTTTTAGTTATCAAATAAACACTTTATTTTTATATACAGATCCATAATCATTTGCATTTATATTTTGGTATGTATTAAAGTTATCCTTATCACATGTAATGATATTTATTTTATGACTTATCTAATTACTTGTCTTAACATATAATTCTATATTCAAGACTTGGGTCATTTGAGTTTCTTTCTAGGTATTAAGGTGTAATATACTTTTTACGAGCTATTTTTCTTCTAATATCACTATGCATTTGACATTATTCATGAGACTAACATGTCCCAATCTTAGTCAATGTTCATATTGCACTAGCAAAATTTTTATATTTACCAATAAAATTCTTTATTGATATGTATACTCTTATTCTGTTACCATTAAATTTATTGATAAGCTCATAGACAAAAATACTCCATTAGTAATTTTTGTTTTATTGGTGAGTTCATTAACAATAAAATTATTAATGGATTTACTAACAGCAAAAACATGCCAAAAAATTTACCTACTTCATTCTATCATTTTTTCCCTAAGAATTTCTTCATGTAACCGACAAAAATACTATATACAATTCCATCAATTATTAAACAATGACATTAACAACAATTCTTTTCCAACTCTCTAGAAATATATCGATAAACTTAATTCATTAATAATACTATTAGTAATTATTTAAAAATATTTTTTTAAAAATCTATTTAATAGAAGTATAAAATAATTAAATTAATATAAATCAACACTCAATAGTAATACTCAATAGTGATGCTAAAAACAAATTAACAACAACAAATAAATAAATTAACTAAAACACTTTTCCACCTAACTTAGAAAACCTATTCCAAAACTCATAAGCCAGCAACAAATAAATTAATTTAATTGAAATTAAAAAATAAAATTGAAAAAAATACAACTAAAATCCAACAAAATTGATCTCACATAAAGAAGAAATCCTATAACAACATTTATATAGTTATTAAGAACATAAAAATTTATGAATAAAATAAAAAATATATAATGAAAAAAACACAAGAAAAAAAAATCTTAACTTAATTTAATTACTATTGAAGTTGAGAAGAGCAAAGAAAAAAAAATTCATTAAGTATGTTAATTAAAAAAAAAGAGAAAAAAAGAAGAGAGGAGAAAAGATACCTACACTTAGGGGAGAATAAAAGATGAGAGAAGGAGTTAAGGAGAGAAGACAAAGAAAGTAAAGGACGTTGTTGTTTTCTACAAAAGAAGAGGTGTGTCTATTTTAAAATGAGGAATTCTAGTATTTTAATTTGGGCATTTTACTTATGAATAATTAAATATTAATATTTTTAACTATTTTATTATTAATTTTGTCTATAATATTTAATTTAAAATTTTAATTTAATCAAAGATTTTCAAAAAGCCCCCAAATATCACCAATAACTTTTTACTCCGTTGATGATTCCATTAGTAATATTTAATTTAAAATTTTAATTTAATTAAAAATTTTTAAAAACTTCCTAAATATTATTGATGACTTTTCAATTCGTTGATAATCATATCTATAAAGAATAATAATTAACAATTTAATTAAGAAGTGAACAATTATAGAACTCTCTAGAAAATACCGATATAATTAATTATTTGGTGATCCCATATAGAGTAACAACATGAACAATGCAATTAAGAAACAAACATTTCTAAAGCTCTTTAAAATATAATAACAAAATTAATTCATCGGTGATATCCTTTATAATTAACACAATGAACAGTACTAGGTAGAAAGAAATAGTTTACCAAAAGGTTTACAGATGGATTTTATGGACAATATTAATATGTTAGAAATACTTTATGTATAAATGACATGTCATCATATCTTTTGTTTTTTTTTTAATTTTTTTTCTAATTGTAATTTTCTTGGCATATACTAAGATATTATTTTCATTGATGGTTGTCGATGAATATAGCAAGGAAATATTTTGTTTGGTAAATTTACTATAATCTACTAATGAAAATATTTTATGTGTTTTTGTTTGTATTTACTAATTTTTTGATAGCATTAATAACATTGGTTTTTTATCTTTTCACTATTTTTTACGGTGGTTATACTTATTTTAACCTATTTTATATTGTTAAGTAACATTTTTCTTTTACATAGCTAGATATTTATTTTTCTATTAATAATATTTGTCAATTCATGCATATTTATGGAACATCTCATTAAGAGACAAATGATCAACATGGAAATAGTAGATAACTAAAATTGTTTAATTGAAGAATGGAACTATCAAATGTTGAAGTTGAAAAAAAAAACTATATAGAAAGATCCAACAATAAATTAGTAATTAAGAGACTAATGATCAACATGAAAATAGTGGATAACTAAAAATTTTTTATTGAAGAATGAAATTAAAAAAAAAAACTATATAAAATTATCTAAAACAATAAAATTACAATTAAGAGACTAATGATCAATATGGAAATAATGGACAATGAAATTTTTTTATTCAAGGATGAAATTGAAAAGAAAATTAATTAAAAAACAATTAAAAGAATGAGGATGAAGATTGAAATAAATAATAAATTAGAGGTCAACTACAAATCTTTTATTGAAATGCAAAATTAAAATTTAAAATTAATTTAACAAAAGAAAATTTCAATTAATAATGATCAAAATTGAAACAAAAAATGGATTAGAGGATAATTATAAATTTTTTTATTAAATGATAAAATTAAAATGAGAAGTCAATTTAACAAAGGGATTAAAAAAATCAAAAGAATGAAGACCATATTGAAAAAATATCACAAAGTAGGATTGAAGGATGAAATTGAAATCTAATTAAAAATTTATAAAGGGATCAAAAACAAAAAATAAAAATAAAAAAAATAAAAACTTAAGTTGAAATTTCAATAAATAAAGGGAAAACTTTAAAATTTTGCATTACTATCAAGAATTTCAAGAGAGAAAAGAAAAAAAAAATCATCATTAATATTGCACCCCTATACCAACATCATCCCTAAAAAAAAAAAAAAGTGTGACACTTTAATGATACAATAAAAAAGAGATTTTAATAGTTGAGAGATATCGTATGCGCCACTCAAAGAAAATAGATATTCTTATATGTTAATAAGTGCATTGTATATAATAATTACTTTTTATTTTATTTTATTATATTTTATATTTATTTAAATATCAAATAATGTTTAAGTTAATTTAATAATATCAAAAATAAAAATAGCTAAGCGATGCCAATTTTAAATCTTGAATTATTTTACTATGATTTAAAAATAAATAAATAAATAAAATAAAATTATTTTTATTATATTAACCATCCATTTAGGTTGTTAAGATTTTACGGAGTTGAGATCCACTCCGCTCCAATTATCGTATCCTATCTCCCACGTGTCAAATCCTCAACCCAATCGTTAAATAACATGATTACTCCGCACAAAATAATTTTAAGATACTTTATTATCCACTAATTTCCAAGAAATTACGAAAATATCTAAACAAATAGCCTCGTGTCCTTTCTATTCATCGACAAATACGTAAGGCATGATCGAACTCCAACTTTAGTTTTTGTTTTTTCTTCTTCCTGAAACAGAAAAAGTAAACAGCATTGTGATTCTGGTTCTTCCCAGAAAACGATGGCGTCATCGGAGATTGGGTTAATTTTGGAGAACTCGAAAGAGCTCGATCGGTTAAGGAAAGAGCAAGAGGATGTTCTTTTAGAGATTAACAAAATGCACAAGAAGCTTCAAGCTAGTTAAGTTTCTCTTCTGTTCTCCTTTTTTTTTATCATCAGTCTTATAGATTAACGGGTTTTTGTTAGATTATTGAAATTTTGATGCCAGGGAGAGTTCCTTTTTTTAGCTTGAATCATGTTAACATTGGATTATATTTTAGGTCATGCTTAATGGGTTTGTTTCCTTTTTTTTAGCTTGAATCATGTTGATATTGGGTTATATTTGAGGTTATGCTTAATGGGTTTGTTTTATACTGGTGAATTGCATGTAATGATAACTGGGTTTTTCTGAATTTGTAATCAAATCTATGTATGCTATGTAGTACGTAGGTTGCTTACTGATGCTCATTTGTTTTGCATCCAGTTGCAAGATTTAGCGATGACTCATTGAATTAACTTGATGTTATGAGTAATTGAAGTTTAATACGGCTATGGCATGAGTTGATTGAAGTTAGTTTGTAGTAAATTGATGGCGTGGAGATGGTATTTACACGGGTTTTTTTATACTAGAAAATGAACGTGTCTCATGTCTAAGTAATTTGTAAAGCTTAAAAAGATTGAAAATGTTTGGTATCATTAGGAATTTTTTCTTAAATTTTGTGATCGCCAGCTGCTTGGGTAAAGAAAGTGGGGTGGGGGAAAGAGTCTTAACAAAATCCGTCATTTTATATGTTTCTTTGGAAAAAGGAAAATACATGCTTGCCTCATCATGTTGTTATATGTGCTTGTAATGCTTTATTTGGAGGTTATTATAGATTTGGATGGGATTTAATGCATCTCAGGTAACAAGCTTGTTATGCTGTGATCTTCATTTTTCCTACTCATCTTTTGCTTGTTCGTGTAAATAATAATAATAATAAAAAAGAATTATATATGAGCTGTTATTGAGTGATCTTTGTGTTAGCTCTACACAAAAGCATCTTTGTTAAAACTGTGCCTTACACCATGCTGTTGATGCAAGGCATAAAGTGTCAATACTACAACATTTCTTAAAGTGTAGGTAAGGTGCCTTAACTGGGCAAGCATGTATACCTCAAACATGTGCCATCAAATCGATGATATTTGTTGAATTTTTGTAGTTATGGCATAGCATGCTGAACCAATTAGTTTATTTATTTATTTTTCCTTGTATGATGTTTTGCTATTGTGCATTATCTTTCTTGTAAGAATTGTAGCACATTTTATTTGAAAGATACATGTCTTGCTCTAAACAACATGCTAAATAGACTTAATAAGTTATTAATTTTTCCAGCCTTTTTTCTTATTATGTTTTTATGAATCATTATCATGTAAACGATTTATTATATTTCAAAGCTGTGTTTTATTTCCTCAAGTTTACACCATGTCTTAAGCCTTCAACTTCCATCCTAGATCTGTTGTTGCTTAACTGCATATAGCACTTTCAACAACACAGTGCAGAAGCTAATGAATAAGAAAAGGTGGAACCTGTCTCTGGAAAACCAAGTCTTAAAGATTGGGTTTCTTCTCCAACTTGCAATTTATATATACATATATATATGTATGTATGTATGTATTATGTATGTATAATATACCATATACACTTCCAGTCATAAATAACGCATGCTGGTTTAAATTTCTACCTTTTAGAGAATCGTTTTAGTAAGCTCAGTAGCTATATTAAAGAATATCTAAGGAGAACTTTTTTTTTCCTGCTCATGATTCTATGTTAGATTTCTTGCAAATGTAATGTGGCAGATGATTCTTTTTGCAGTTTCATCCCCTTTGCATCCTCTGTATAGTTGTAAATGTGCATCCCATTAATTTCCTCTCGAAGTCTAGCTTGTCAAGCTTTTCCTCCCCCCTTTTTAATTCTTAGCAGATAGTGATTGAATCTATACAAAACTCTAGGATATAATTATTAATATTTTTTTTCCAGCTTCCGGATTTTTTTATTTAATACACATTGTTACCTATTACTTCTGGTTTATATTAATGAAAGATTTTACATGGAACAAATCATACAAAAAGTGCTTTCATATAGATGTGGCAAGTGATGGATGGTTTATATAAAAATAATTCGATTGGTTTGCCATGAACGAGAATAACCACAGCAATAACAAGAATAACTAGATTTAATTGTGTTTATATCATTCCTCTTCAACTGTTTTATTAACTTTGAATTTTTGCTTTCTAATGCAGCTCCTGAGGTGGTTGAGAAGCCTGGTGATACTTCGTTAGCAAAGCTCAAAACTTTATATACTCAGGCCAAAGACCTTTCAGAGATTGAAGTAAGGTACATGTATATAAATCTTTAGTTAAGTTAACCACTCTCCCTTCTGACTAAAGCTGAGTGTTTGTGCTTGCTCAATAAAATTCTTTCATAATGTGTAGCACATTAATGATATGCTGTAGTGGTTGGCTCCTAACACGTGTTAGTTTTGAATGTAATTGATAGTTTAGACCAACCATATTTTTTTCTCTCTGTGGATGCAGTGTTTCTGGTGCCCTGTTGACTCAATTGGATGCTCTGTTACCATCTGGACCTCCAGGTCAACAACGAAGAAGGATAGGTGTGTACTACATACTTTTGAGTTTGGCATATGAGATGTGCATATAGAAAGTATTCGTGTTTACTTTAATGTTGTAAGGAAGTTCTCATGTGTAAATTTCAGTGAAGGTCTATCACTACATGATGTATTAGGGACTCAAATTGTTCATTTATATTGAAGTGAAAGTAAACTCTGCAGTAGTATATGCATACATGTATGAACATAAGGAGGTTGGTACGGGCTACGTGCAATTCCAAAAATTGGAAATCAGTGTTCAAGCTGCTATATATCAAGTACCTTAGGTATATATTGAGTATCTCTTGTAACTTGAATGAGCATATAGCTATTTCACTGCCAAGGAACCACCTCACACCCTCAAGGATGAAGTTCTTTTGGAAGACATCCCTTGTCTCAAGACATTAATTCATTTATAGAAGCTTTGAATATTATTAACTACTGTCCTTGGTGCATTTGTTGTCCAATGGCCTGGCTACAAAACCAGTTGTCTCAATCTAAGAACATTCTTTCTGAAGATAACTTTAGGTCTCTGGTACTGTGCAAAAGATTTTACCAGCTAACTACCTGGGACTTTCAATAACTAGAGATTGACATGCTCATTGGTTATGATATATTGCACCAAGTGAGCATGAGACAAGACCTTATACAACTAAATAGATACTAAACATGGGATAGCATTTAGACTTGCGAACATTGATGGCTGGACTGTAGAATACATGACTTGTGCCTAGGAAAATGAATTTCATTTTCTCTATCTTGATTTTAGTTAGATGCTGCTACTGTTATTTGAGAAACTCCATATATCATGAGAAAATGTAAAATAAATTGCAGAAGGTAATGATCAGAAAAGGAAAAGAATCAAAGCCGATTCAGATATCTCAAGGCTCTCTCCTGCAGTAAGAAGTCAACTTGAAGCATGTGCTAGTCTAAAGGGTGAACAGGTTTGCATGTCTTTTTAAAGAACATAATATATTTATATCCCCTTTTCTTTCTTTCATTCTTTGTTTTTTTTTTTCCTTTTTTTAATTATTTTGCAAGTAGAGTTCCATTTCATTCTGTTTCGCAGAAGTGATTGACATGTTGCTATATTCAGGTAGCAGCTAGGGTCACAGGTGATAATGCTGAAAAGGATGAGTGGTTTGTTGTAAAAGTGATTCATTTTGATAGGGAAACAAAAGAGTAAGTTGAGCTGTTGTACATGAGATTCTTCAATAATTACCTTGCCTAATAGTTGGATTGCAAATGATGTGTTTTGTTGACTATTATAATTTGGTGCACCATATTATTAATTCATTTTTAATGGTAATTTTATAGATGTGAATGCATAGGTATTTCTTTGAGGTTAGGTTAGCTACCTTGCCTATTATTTAAGAATTTTGTCATGTATATGGACTATATTTTGATTGCACCTCCAACCACTATGAAGCACGTATACTTAAAAATCTCTGATCTATTCCTATCATGCCATATCCGATACCATACTTGACCCAATACTTTATGATATGTATGGAATACTTCTCAAACATGTCCAAAATTAACAAGTAAGAATATTATTTTGGATACTTGAGGACACAGAAAATAATATTTTGAGAAGATTGTAGTTTATAATTTTATAATATCAATCAAAGCTTACATGGATAATGATTGGTGAATATTGTTGAAGAAAATAAAAAATATGACTGTACATTCTTGTTATAGTTGTATTCACGCGAATATGAGCGCATTAATAAAATATGCATTTTTATTTGCTTTTTTCTTAAAAAAAATGGTTATAGCTTACATCTTCTAAAAAATAATAGAGTAAATGGGAATAAATATTAAAATTTATCTGTAACATTATCCTAAGATTTTAAGAATTGACATATCACGTTTCTATACCGTGTCTTGCTCGTTTCTTGTATCCCTATCCGTGCCTCGTCACCCTGAACTATTTGGAGTCTGTTACATGTATGCTTTTTCCTCATTTTTTTGTTTTCTATTTTGAGCCCAAAACTCTCACAAGTTACATGTATGCTTTTTCCTGAACTAATACGAGCACATTAATAAAATATGCATTTTTATTTGCTTTTTTCTTAAAAAAATGGCTATAGCTTATGTCTTCTAAAAAAGAATAGAGTAAATGGGAATAAATATTAAAATTTATCTATAACATATCATATCCTAAGATTTCAAGAATTGACATATCACGTTTCTATGCTGTGTCTTGCCCGTTTCCTGTATCCCTTCCGTGCCTCGTCAACCTGAACTATTTGGAGTCAGTTACATGTATGCTTTTTCCTCATTTTTTTTTTCTATTTTGAGCCAAAAACTCTCACAAGTTATTGTGATGCTAAATCAGGTTAAATATATTATACATGCCTTCTATTTTCAAATAAATGCTAAATGGACATAATCTTAAAAGAAAATGCCACTCCACTAGCTCATTTATTTCAATATGTAAATCTTCTGGTACTCTGTCCATAATTAGTAACTTTATGTGCAGATTTGAAGTACTTGATGAGGAGCCAGGAGATGATGAAGAGAGTGGTGGCCAAAGGTTGATTTGTCTTTTGATACACCCTTATTATCAGCAACTGAATTTCTTATTCGCAGTATTTCTTTCCCAGAGATTGTACATTAGTATCTTGTGATTTGTCCTGTGAAATGCCTAAACCAAGTATGCTGGTTTACTCACATGAATGGGTTTTTTCTTTTGACACTTGCTTCAGAAAGTACAAGCTGCCCATGTCATGTATTATACCTTTCCCCAAGCGAAATGATCCTTCTGGTGCCCCTGATTTTCCTCCTGGGAGACATGTTTTGGCTGTCTATCCAGGGACAACAGCACTTTATAAGGCAACTGTTGTGAGCCCCCTTCGGAAGGTAACTATTCCATCCACCTAGCTAGATAGATTTGAATCCAAACTAAAGTAACTGCAATTTTCCTTGGGAATCCTGCTGTTCAGTAGTTTTTTTTCCCAGTTTTGAATATCCTGGTGACTGACTTTGGACTGACAATTAATTGTATTGTGCATGCTGTGGGATGCCATCATTCTGTTGTTTTTCAGAGGAAGATAGATGAGTAAGTACTATCTTTCTCATGTTCTATCCTTAGTTTGCTGATTTTGGAAATTTTCCAGTATTGTTCTGGTGTTTACTTTATGTTACACTATAATGATGGCAATATTCCATGCCCTTCTCCCTGCTTTCCTTTTCTTCGTTTCTTTGCAGATGGTTTTCTTTATTCTTTTTCTTCATTTTTTTTTTGTTAGATAGATGAACACAATGATTATTCCAAAGATTTTCGTAATTGTTTTATCCAAAGAATCTCCAAGATGGTAAATTATATATATAATAAAATAGGAGGGTAATCTGGTACTCTATCTTCACATATTTAAGAAACAAAACTTCTGCTGATTGTAAATGGTTTGCCCTTAGAAGTACAGTCTGGAACAAGATATGTTATGCATGTGGTTTCTAAATGCTATGCCCTTCGTATTTATGTTATTTTTATCATGCTCTGATAGCTGCTATTGTTTTGGTTGGACAGTTATTTGCTGGAGTTTGATGACGATGAAGAAGATGGAGCCTTGCCTCAGAGGATTGTTCCCTTCTATAAGGTGGTTCCCTTACCAGAAGGGCATCGTCAATGAGTCCTTGTTCATAGTTGTGTGTAAATAAAGCTCCTGTGTAGCAGCGTAATACAGACCATGCATCTTGAATCCTCTTACCTCCCTTCTTTCTTTGACCGGAAGGGGCAATGCCTTGAAAAGAGACGTACCATATTTATATGTTTGGTTGTGTAGTGAAGTGGCTTTTCCTTACAGCGTTCTCTGTTTTTGGTCGTGAACTCGTCATTGATGCAACAGAACATTTAGATTTTAGGGAACCCAAGATTGCTCCATGAAGGTTTAAAAGTGAATAATTATTGAGCGCCATTGGCTAAATGCAGTTCCGAATCTGGTCCGATCTACGGCTGGTAATGCTAAATTTGCCTTGAGACGGTGTTGGC